GATCATGCAAGTACTTCCTCACCTCCTGGAACTCAGTGTCTCTTTTCTCCTGCATCTTCTAGAGTTCTTTGTCTCTTTTCTCTTGCATCTCTGTTAGCTTTGTCACTATGAATATTTAAAACTTTTTATCTGACATTTTCATGAGTTCTTTTGTATTTTTTTGTGGTGGAAGAGGAGTTACTCTTTTCTACAAAAAAGAGATATATTATCTTTATTTCTCTTATTTCTTGTGCCTCTGTAGTAGTTTCCATTCATCTGATGGATTATACATTTTTTCCTATTTTTTTGAGCTAAATCTGAGCAACTAGAGGAATACAAAAGATGATCTGTAGTCTGTAATCAGTACCATTTTTGTCCCCTTTGCACAACTGATTCAATGAAAATTGAAGATTAATCTGACCCTAAAAGTATTCAGATATTTGGCTACTGAGCACCTAGATCTCTCTAGAAAATCAGTGTATGGAGGCTGAGCAGAAAAGTGAGAAGGTAAAAAGAGAAGAAACAGGAATAGAAAAAGAGACAAAAAATCTTTTTTTCTCAAAAAAGGAAAACCGGGCAGCACGTGAGCGTGCCATGTGAATGGGCCACTTGGAACTCAAATATAGATGGCTGCTAATTGGCTTATCCTATGGGGATGGGGGAAAGGTGAGACTTAGACAAAAGACCAGCAGAGAGCTAAGTTTAAATTTTTTTAAAAAATTGAAAATAGAAAGAGAGATGGAAAGAGAGAGAGAGAGAGTAAGTAGGGTGCTCTAACCTGGCTCCTGGCTAGACTGGGGAGCAGGAGGTGAAGTCTGGGCAGAGGGTCTTTGGTGGTCGAAATCCCTGAATGGGGCCACCAGGAACTCAAATATAGATGGCTGCTGATTGGCTTATCCTGGTCCTGGCTAGACTGAGGAGCAGGAGGGTGAAGTCTGGGCAGAGGGTCTTCAGTGGTCGAAATCCCATCATATTCTTTGAAGATTCATAATTCAGACTATCAGAAATCTTATTTGTTGCTCTTCACCTTTAATTCCTTAAGCCACCCATTGCAGAACTTAGAAATTCCACTATGCTGCACAGAGCCTGAAGAGAGGAAATAGGATCAGCAAGTCATGGGGGCAAAACACAAAAACACACATACAGAATAGAGACTGAGCGGAAGGAAGCTCGAGAATGCTGAGCAGAGTATGCATAGAAAATCCTGAACATCTGAATCAATGATTGAGAAGACACTGAAAATGTTATTTGTCACAGATCTTAAGAAGAAAAAGACAAGTGAAATATCTTCTAAATAGTCCCCCTACCTCCAATCTTGCCTCCATCCAATCCATTCTTCTTAACTCTTTGGCACAAAGCTCACTGTGCTGCCATCTTGCAATAAAGCCTCAGGTTTTGAAGTACCCGGTGCTCATATTTGCATGTCTCAGGACCCACCATGGGACAACTCCTTTTGCTTCTCTAAGCTCCCCTCTTGCTCTGCTTAATGCCTCAAGCCTCTGCTCAGGCTGCTCCTGTGCCTGAATGCCCATCCTTTACTATACCCACTCCTCTCCAGATCAAGCACCTCTTTGACTTCCAAGATTTTCTCCAAGCACAATTTTCCAAAGGCAGCTTTTTCTCCTCTTTCCCCGAGGCTGCCTCACACCTACATAAAGATGACCATGCTCTCCTTTGTGCCCCAATATGCCCCATACAGACTTGAATGAATCATGGCTTCCTTTATTATATTTGAATGTCACATTGCTAATTCTTGGGGGCTAAGACCATGTCTTATTAAAATTAACTATGTCTGACCCTCTGGACCTTTTTCACATCAAAGACATGTGGAAAATGATAATATTTATAGGGTCCAACAGGCCACTTGTGAAGATTAATGTATCAGCACACCTTTAGTAACTTATTCAAAGTCGAAACACTCCAGTTGAGAAGCTTTGCATAAAAATCCCTTAGTTAATTTGAAAAAAAAATAGATCAGTTAGACTATGAAGTTAAGAGACTTCTGGAGTTAGGCAATTAAGATCTTAGAAACAAACAAAAGGAAATGATCATAGAGAAGAAACATAATTAAGATTCAATGTGGCCCCAGCAGAAGAATAATTAGTATGTGGATTTTTCACCCAGGTGGTCAAGACCTCCTTCACCAATATGGTCCTAACTTGACCTTCCATGACTGGTTTTCACCGCCTGAACTCTAGCCAGACCAAACTGATCACCACCCCCTACAGGCTTATTGTTTGCTTAACATCTGTATGTGCTGGCCTCTCTCCCCAGCACACCCTATCCCCACTCATGCAATACACTAGGGGCTCAACTGTCCATCTTTGAAAGCTCACCTCCACTGAAGACTTCTCTGCCCTAATGGGTGGGCTTGGTCTCTCTCTTGATACCTTTATTTGTGCCTGACATCACATTCTTTTGTCTCAGTTGTTTCTTTTTGTCTCCTATCCTTTCAATGAAATGTAAGTTTCATGTGGTCAAAGACAGTCTTTCTCATTACTTTTCTCCTTTACCCTGAATAGGTACACATTGAGAGCTAAGTTTCCTGGCTGTATGTTTTTTCTCCTTTACCCTGAATAGGTACACACTGAGCTAAGTTTCCTGGCTGTGAGAAAAACAGGTTTCTGTTTAACAAGGAAGGAGGGGTGTTTGTTATCTAGGGTAAGACCAGTATCTCATAGCCTGCCAGGTGTCATTAAATGTCCCTCAGGGTAACCCTAGTGGCTTAAAACTCACGCCGGGCGTGTGTGCATGTGTGCCCAAGATCCCGAGAAGAGAATGGAGGAGAAGGGATTGCGGCTTAGCCATCCCCCCTGGGGGGTGATTTCTCGCTTTCTGTCTCTATGTCTCTCTCTGTCTGTCTGGCAAGCGCACGCACCCTATAGTGAAAATCTCTCCAAAAGAAAGAAAGAAAGAAAGAAATTGAGTTTGATACCAAAAAATAGAAAGACATTCCATATTTTTGGATTGACAATATCAATATAATCAAAGTGTTAGTTCTACCCAAATTAATTTACATATTCAATGCAATTCCAATCCAATTGCCTGTGACATCCTTCACAGAAATAGAAAAAAAATCATTAAATATGTCTGGAATGATGAGAAACCCCTATGCAAAAAGAATAAAGTAGGAGGCATCTCTCTACCCAACTTTAAAATATATTACAAAGCAGTGATAATCAAAACATCATGGTATAGGCACAAAAATAAACACATAGACTAATGGAACAGAATAAAGAATCCAGAAATAAACCCCAAATCATACAGCCAACTAATCTTTTTCTTTAAATAGACATTTTTGCTATAGGGTATGTGCACTCACCAGAGAGAGAGAGAAGGTGAAAAAATCACCTCCCAGGGGGATGACTGTGCTGCAATCCCTTCTCCATTCTCCTCTGGTGATCTTGGCATGCACACACAAGTGTCCAATGTGATTACAAGTCACTGGGTCCAAGACTCGAATGGTGGTTAACCATGTGGGAGTCCAGTGCCTTAACTACTATGCCACCTGCTGGCCCCAAGCAGTTGTTCTTTGACAAAGGTTACAAGACAATGCAACAGATGGCACCGGATATCCATCTGCAGAAAAATGAAACTGGACCCCTATCTCCCATCATTAACAAGAATCAACTCAAAATGAATTTAAGATGTAATATAAAAGTTCAAACCAAGAAACAACTAGTAGAAAACTTAGGGGAAACTTTTGCTGATGTTGAAGTAGGCAAATATTTCTTAAGACCCCTAAATCACAAGCAATAATCCCCAAATAGAAAAGTGAGATTACACCAAGCTACAAAGCTTTTTCACAATAGAAACAAAAATTAGAATGAAAAGACAACTCTCAGAATGGGAGAAAACATTTGCAAATTACTTCTCAGACAAGGGATTGACACCTGGAATATATAGAGAACTCAAGTAGCTCACCTATTAAGAAAAAAAAAAAAAAGAAGAAAAATCCAATTTTAAAAATGGACAAATGAACTGAATAGAAAGATCTCCCAGGAAGACTTACGAATGACCAAAAGGCATATGAAAAAAAAAAAATGTTCACTGTCTCTTGTCATAAGGGAAATGCAAATTAAAAGCACAATGAGATGCCATTTAGCTCCAGTGAGAATGACTAAGGTAAAAATATAAAGAATGGCAAGTGCTAGTGAGGCTGTGGTGAAAAGGGAACCCTATTACACTATTGGCAGTAATGTAAATTTGTACAACCTCTGTGGAAAACAATATGGAGGATCCTTAAAAAGAACTACCATATGACCCAATAATTCCACTTTTAGGTATCTACCCAAAGGATAGGAAAACAGTCAGAAAGACACCTGCCCAACCATGTTTATTGCAGTATTATTCATAAGTGCTAAGACATGGGATCAACCTAAGCATCCCAAAACTGATGACTGGATTGAAAAACTGTGGCACATGTATTCTATGGAATGTTACTCAGCAAGAAGAAACGATGAGTCCCTGTCATTTGATTCAAAGTGGATGAATATAGAGGATTTCATGTTAAGCAAAGTGAGCTAGACTTTGAAAGATACACACTGTATATTCCCACTCTATGGGAGAAATAGAAAGATCTGAACATATGATAGTGGAGAGGGTAAATGTAGATACTAGAGACGTAAGGGAGTGGGTGGTGGATGGTGGGTAGGAGGGGCAAAGGAAAGAAACATTTAACAGACAAAAGAAGGTAAAGTTCCCTGTTGAAAATAAAAGTTCTGTAATTTTTGCTTTATAATGATAACTAATTTTTTAAAGAGAGATATCATTCCCTATCATGATGAGAAGCTGAATCTCCTGTCCTCAGAGATGGCTTCTCAGAATAAGAAGTCTGTCCTGTACCCCTCGAAGCTCTGCCACCTGTATGTTTGCTTTAGCACTGGGTGAGTGAATCTTCTGGTAATGCTCTAGTGCCATGACATTGCTGGAAATTTCCAGTGGTTAGAAACTGTGTGTCATGATGCCTTGACGACAAATCTCCATCTTACACTAATGTGGTATGCCTCTTTCCCCCACAGGCACAAAGGGTACACAAGAAGTTTCCTAAACCCAGCAGAGTGCACCACTCCTCTGAGAAGAAGCGTCATTCTGTTCCTTCACCAAGCGCCACTGCACCAAGCTATTTATCTGGCAGCAGCCAGCAGCCCCTGCTCAACAGTCCACACCCAGGGTCCAGCAAGGCGGGTCTGCCTACTGGGCACCAGGAGGAATTTGCCAGGCGAACCAGTAGTGCCCCTAGCCCTCCCTGCTCTTTCCAGAGAAGCAAGTCCTTGTTTTGTTTGCCCACAGGAGGCCCCTCTCCAGCCGCCTCAGCTGAACCACAGTGGTTTTCAAACACAGGGCATAGGGTATCAGAGTGGAGGCATGGCCACCTCCTCTCCATTGATGACTTAGAGGGGGCCCAGGAGACGGACGTGGATACGGGCTTGCGTCTGTCCTCCTCGGACCTGTCTGTGGTCTCTGCATATTCAGCACCCAGTAGATTCTGCAGCACACTGGAAACATCCCTCCCCTCTGAAGGATGCAGCAGCCACTGGCCAACACGCAAGGATTCCAGAGAAGGACCACTGCCCACTGTCAGTGAGGGCCCCACAGAGACCTCCTGGACTTCCCTCCCCTTCTTCACCAAAGGGTCTTCCTGCTCCTCAGCCACAACTGTAACTGCTCCCCCAGCTTCCAATGCCTCTTTGCTCACAGCATCGTCCCCAAAGCTCCCTCCCAATGCTCCCCAAATCAAGCAGACTGGTAGAGATGCACCACCATCTGTGACATTGGCTGGTCCTGGGGATAATGACGTGGAGGAGTTCTACATCTGAACACCCTCTGCTCTTGTTTCCTACACGCACAAACCAAGACACGCAAACTCGGTTCCCACTGCCCCTGTGATGTCTGAACGTGCCTGTGTTCTCAATACTGCTCCCCAGGTCTGTCTGGAATTTACAATCATGCCTTGCTTAACCACAGGGATCCGTTCTAACAGAGAAATACATTGTTAAGCAATTTCATTGTTAAACACCATAGAGTGTACTTACACAAACCTGGATGCTATAGCCTACTTCACACTGGGGTTTTGTGCTATAATCTTAGGGGATCGCCATCAGACATGCAGTCCGCTGTTAGCAGAAGCATTGTTAGGCAGCGCATGGCTATATCTGTTTCACAGGGATCATTAGCACAGTGGCTTACCACCTTCCCCTCTTTGTAGCCGAGAGGTGGTACATTTCTAGGAACTTGATGGAAAAATACTGGCATTTTTATGCAAATAAATTCTCAAACTTAAATTGCAAAATATATTTTTTGAATACTCAACATTTGAGATACAGTTTAGTGCGCTTGCACAATTTAAATCCTTCATGTAATTATTTGAAATGAAACACGAACCTAGTCAGCCAAAGCTGATTGGGCCATTTTTATGCTGTGAAGGAAAAACAGTTAAAGTCAAAATGTTGAATGTGGGAAAATTACTAAGTGCTGGTATGAGAGAGGAGTGCACGGTGACATAATGCTCACTTACAGTTCCTCATACATACTGACACTAGTGACCCTGGGAATGCTCAAGTCCTGCTTGCAGTGGAAGAAGGCAGCTTGACAAGATGGTGTAAACATGTATCAGACTACGCAGTACCTCACTTTGAAGCCATGCAACATCAGAAAATCTGGATTTACACAAAAATGGCTGATGTGCTTCATAAAGATTTAGCATGAATAACAAACTCTTGCTGCATTTAAAAAATGACTTGAGTTCCAAAAACTAGATTTGCATACATATTTTCAATAGCACATCCTCTGTAATAAATGAAGGGCTACAGAAGACCACTCCATTATCTGGATTGACTTGGATCACTGAGGAAGAAACCATTTCTTGGAAGAACAGAATAATAGGATGTTAAACATATGAATAGGGGGCCAGCCAGTGGCATGGCCATTAGGATGGATGGATCCCACATGGCGACTGTACAGGTTGAGTCCTAGACTCAGTGGCTTGAAGGACACGCCAGATGTGTGCACGTGCATGCCCAAGATCCTGAAAGGAGTGAAAACTGAAAGAGAAGGGATTATGGTGTGGTTACCACCCATGGAAAGGCATGCTTTTTCATTCTCTCTCTCTTTCTCTCTCTTCCTTTCCCACCCCACTCCAGAACCACATGCCCCCACTGGCAAAATTTAAAATATATAGGTAGGTAGCCTTAAGATTCTTCCATTTCAAAAGCACAATCTAAGGGCTGTATATATCTCTGTATAAACAACAGGAGCCACATTTTATACTGCTTTCTCCAGTAAACATGCATGGTCACATATCCTATGTTTTTCATTTTTATATAATTTGTGGCATTTTAGATGGCATTTTGATTGCACAGATTGACAAATGTCTCCCTCTCCCAAACGAGAAACTTTACACAGAATGCTCTCCTGAACAAACACTGGTGCACTGCTAGCCCTTGTGAGTTTGTGAGAGCCTTAATTAAAGCTAGAGCTTTAGCCCGCTGTTGGCTTTTCTTGCCTGTTGTCTGCTTCTGTCTAAGCATGAATGGTATTTAAATCTCATCTCCTCCCACCCCTATAAGGGTATGTTTACAGCTCCAACCTCAGCAATGCCAAGTGCTGGCATCAGGGACAGTGCCAAGCTGTCCCTAAATGCTATTTCTCTTTGAGGAAGAACATGGATTTGCATTGTTCATTTCCCAGTCTGGTGCTCCTTGCCTAAATTACTCATGGTACAGTTTCTATTTCTCCTGAAGTATCCACACCAGCTTAGAATCCTTTCCAGCTTGACCCTCCAGGCAGCTGTTAGCAGTCATCAGACTTGAACCGAAGCCTCAAGTCTTTGCCATCCTTGTAATGAGAGTCTTGCATCCTGTCTCAAATATCCTGGACTTCCCAGGACTCAGACTTGTAATACTCTACTCCAATTTAGTAAATAAAAATATGGCCTCTTCTAATTCTAGACTAGCAGTCAGCAAAGTTTTTCTAAAAAGGGCTAGATAATAAATATCTTTTTAAGTTTGCCAGTCATATGCTCTCTGTTGCATCTTACTGCCATGTTAATATGAAAACAGCCATAGATAAAACATAAATGAATGGGAGTAACTGAATTCCAATAAATCTTTATTTACAAGAACAGGTGGTGAGCCAATTTGATTTGAGGTCTGTAGTTGAGTAGCCCTGGGGCTAGACCACTGTCTGAGGTTGACTTAAGACACCAGAATGCAATCTATTGCTACTGTGGTGTGTAATGCCAAAAAAATGGGCTACTCTGGTCAAGCTAATGACTATAAAACCCAGGGCTCAGAACAGTAAGAGGGGTTTCTTTCTGCAGAGTCAATTTCATAAAAGCCACTAGCAATGTTCTCCCCAGAAATGTGACTCAGCATCAATAGCTGATGAAAAAAAAAAAACATACTAATGTTAAGGAAAAGGAGAAAATTCAGAGGTGGTGACACAGCTGACAGTGAGCAGGAAAGTACGTTCATCAGTAGCAAGTCAATGAGGCAGAAACGAGTGGACCACCTGCCCAGTGATGGCTCCTCCTGTCTTTGTCCTTACTGAGTACTCTTATCTCCATCCATTCAGCTAAGATCAGAAGACATCATTCGATAAGAAGAAATGCATTCTGTCCCCATAACGCAAAGCGAAAAGGAAAAAAGCTCATAACAAGACAACCCTGAGGTGTTCCTGTTCTGTGGTTGGAAATAGTAGCCAGTTTATGAAGAGTAGTCACAGGGACAGATTTAACAAGGCTTTAGCTTCCATTTCTGACTGTACCACTAGCACTCTCCTCATCCAGGAGGGCTCCTGATACCTAATATTATTCTTGTGATAGATTCTGGCGTACTATAGGTGCTCAATAAACTTGTTCGATTAAAAAACACTGAGGTTGACTCATAACTATTTCTCTCCTACATTAGACTCTTGGATGTAGTAAGTCTAGATTTTAGCCTAGTTTTTTGTCGCTTACCAGAAACCAGTCTTTTGTCTCCTTGGCCTTGAACTTCCTCCTATCATTGCCCAGGGGTGCCATGTTAGTGCCCTGATCAAGGTTGTATCCCATCCCTCATTTACCTTTTTTCCAAATAAATCTCCCAAATGATCACTTTTGACCCCATTTTGGTCTACAACACCACCTAGTGTCTGCTTTAAAGACCAAACGTCTCTTGACTCTCCCCAGCGGACATGGCAAATACTACAGAAATCATTTGGGTCACCTCAGTTGGTTAAAATGAGCATCAAAGGAACTTATAGGGGTGGTAGGTAAGCCACTGCAGACTATGCATCAGTGAGAGTGTTGATATGTGTTTGAATGAACTGAGTCCTGGAGTTCAAGGGCAGGGGGATAGTCACAGTGGAGTATATTAGACTGCACCATCCAGTGCCCTCCTAGGTGGTACCAGGTGTTTCCTTTTGTAGAGATTATCCTTGATTCCATAGCTGATGTCTCTTCAGTCCCGTGTAAAGCAGGAGAAATGCAGGTCTATCCGTATCTCCCCACTTTTTGTAGATCAATAAATTGTCCAATCCATCTAACAGGCACCTGACTAGACTCATAGAATTCTAAAACAGACCATGGAGAACTGCTTCCATCTCATACCCTCAGACAGAATGGTATCAATGGCTAGTTCTCATGGTGATCCCTGGGTCTGAACTTCAGGAGAACAGTGGAAATGGCAGAGGAGGGACCAGCAGTTAGTTTAATGGCTATGTCGCTGGACTCCCATGTAGTCAACCGTGGTTTGAGTCCCGGACTCGGCGGCTTAAACTCATGCCAGGCACTCGTGCGTATGTGCCCAAGATCCCGAGAGGAGAATGGAGGAGAAGGGATTGTGGCGTGGCCATCCCCTCTGGAGGGGGGGGGGGTGATTTCACGCTTTCTTTCTCTCTGTCTCTCTCTGTCTGTCTGGCGAGTGCACACACCTTATAGCAAAAACCTCTCCAAAAAGAAAAAAAAAGAAAGAGGAGTCACCTCCTTTTCTGCCTTAGGAAGCCACATTGTTCCGAGTGTCTAGTCTAGATGTAAATGCCCCTCATCATTTGTAGGCTTTTTCTTCTCCTTAGTTCTTCGGAAATGAAAGTGAGCAGACACTGCAGAGTCTTCAGAAAATAACATAAGCAGTCAACATAAAATAGATAAATAAAATGGATTCTCGGGGTAAACCTCTTTTGTCACAATTATTACAGACAATGAATTCATGAGGAGCCAAGAATCTGAATTTAGAGGCTATATATAAGTATCTTTTTCCAGCTCTACAGAAAACTTTTTCTAGTTTTAGGCAGAGAGGTTTAGTTATAAAATGGTCTTAAATGAAATCATTTATCTGAGTAATGGAGGCAGCTATTAGGAGCAATATAGTCATTGCAGACAGAAGTCACTGGAACATTTTGTGAAGGTAAAAGGCCCCTGTGTCCCCCTATGACAACATCCCCGAAGTCTCCTTTTGGAGCAAGGGTCTCACCTCCAGTTGCCTGGGAGGTGCAGAAAAAAATGGAGCTGCTTCACAGCCCTGCCTGCCGAATCTGGCTGAAAGCAGTCTATTGCATTTGAAGCATTTGCAACATTGATCTTGTAAGTTGAGCATCAGAAAGAAGCTACTCCAGATGCCTTAGATCAGCTTTGCCCAGTCCCTAGAACTAAAGCCAGAGGAGTTTGAATTGGAGCCACTTTGAAAGTGTATAGTACATTCCCAAAAAAATGGCTGGGTGAATAGAAATTCGGGCCAAAGCTCAGGGTTCTTGTGGGAAAGCTTTGGTGCCACCTGGTGGCCACCATGCCCAGAAGGGTCAGTGGCCTTTCATGGAAGACAACTTGAAACCGAGGAAGCCATTTCACTTCTGTTTCTTGTTCTGCACATAATTTTCTATTTTGTATATTTCTGCAAAATATTGAGGCACCTTCCAATTAAAATGAAATGAGACAATGCACATAGAAATAGAAAATCAGGTCCAAGAAAAAGAACCCTACAAATACGTCAACCACAAAGAAAAACATAGCTGCTATAGTTGAATTTCCTGGAAGTCAAAGCAAAAAGAGGAAAATGAGTAGCTGTTCTGTTCTCATGTATGATTACATAACCTAGTGTTATTGTCTCATTTCATGTCACTTCCATTGCCTCAGTGCAGATCCTCAGAGGTAGCCAAGTTTTTCTTGGTACAGATTTCTAAAATCACCTTCTCGTCGGGGGATTTTCACTGGGTATTCTCTCCATGAGGTTACTAATGCGGTCCAAGTTTGCAGCTTTCTTGCTCTGAGGATGGCATTGACAACATCTGGCAGAGAAAGTGTACCCACCTTTGGTGTTTTGGATGAGCCTCTCTAGCCATCTTTTTCCTGGCATGCTGGGGACAGGTGGAAATTGCACCCTGGGAAGGAAATCTAGAGAGTTGGCTTTCTCACTGCACTTGAGCCATTTCTTTAGAGTTAGGAAAGCAGAGGAGAGTGGAAGGGATGACATCCTCCTGAGAATCTAGAGGCTTCTATCTACCATTCTAGCCTGTACAGGTAAAGAGTTCCCATCTACAGGGGCCCCCTCTGTGTCCTCATCCATGCTTGACAGTCACAAAACCAGCTCCAGTTTTCTAAGCTCCACAGTTAAAAGAGGCTTCGGGCAGTTTGAAGCCCTTCCAAATAAGTTATGAATCCCCTCATCCCATACGTCTTTGAGTATCTGAAGACTGATAGGCATTTGGGTCCCACCTTTCTTTCGTCATTGCTCTGAGTGGATTTGCATGGCAGGCAGTGGGTGCAGTGCTGGGGACATAGGATTGAACTGCAGAGATAGCTCAGCTCTCATGGAACTAACCTCCTACTACTCTTTTAGGATGTAGAGTCCACCTGAGAGATTCCAAAGAACTAACCTCTGCTACAGGTATAGTCAAAGCCTCAGATGCAGGCATCAAATACACCTGACTTCCATTTCTAAGTCCGTCATTTGTTGTGTGAAGTAAGGACAA